TTTATTTAGTGTGTGTGTGGCCAGCTCAGCCCACCAGGGGGCGGGCCTGGCTGGCATGTGGTGCTGGGGATTGAACCGCGGTCCCTGTGCTTTGCTTAGCTTAACTTGTTCTAAGTAGGTGCTTTAGACCACTGAGCCATCTCACCAGCCCCCTAAATGTTTTTTTAAATTTATTTATTTTATTTGTGTGTGTGTGTGTGTGTGTGTGTGTGTGCGCGTGCGCGTGGCCAGCTCAGCCCACCAGGGGGCGGGGCTGGCTGGCATGTGGTGCCGGGAGATTGAACCGCGGTCTGTGTGCTTCGTTAAGCTTGTTCTAAGTAGGTGCTCTAGACCACTGAGCCATCTCACCAGCCCCCTATACTAAATATTGAAAAAAGAAAAAAACACTCAAACTAAAGTCTGGTCACCTTTGACTCACTTCTGATTATATTTATTGCCATCGTTCTTCCTCTGTTGAAATTCCTGGTGTAGCTAGTATAGCTGTTTTCTCAAGCCTTGGCAAGCACCACTCTGTTTTTCATTTCTATGAGTATGAATCCTCTTGTTAGCCACCACGTATAAGTGATATTCTGCTGTGACCGACTTCTCTCGCATGGCATAATTTCCTCGAGATTCATGCACGTTACAGCAGATACCAGAGTTTTTCTCTTTGTGGCTGAATTACATTCTATTGTACTCATTTCCACATTTTGTCTTTGTCCTTGTCATGTTGTGGTTCAACTCCAGATTTTGACCTAGGGCTAAGGCAAGAGATTTTTTTAAGCAATCAGTGGTTTTTTTGGTTTTTTGGGGTTTTTTTTGGTGGAACCAGGGTTTGAACTCAGGCCCTTGTGCTTGCCAGGGAAAGGCTTATTCCACTGAGCCATCTCCCCGGCCCCACACTCAGTGTTTTGTGGTTTTTTTAATTTTTTAGTTGTGTGTGTGTGTGTGTGTGGCCAGCTCAGCCCACCAGGGGGCGGGGCTGGCTGGCCTGTGGTGCTGGGGGATTGAACCGTGGTCCCTGTGTTTTGTTAAGCTTATTCTAAGTAGGTGCTTTAGACCACTGAGCCATCTCACCAGCCCCACACTCAGTGTTTTAAGTCAGCCTCGTTTCCATTGTGCTTAAGCATCTGCAGAACAGCTCGAGACCACTCCGTGGTGTTCCTACCCATTCAGAGACCTTCACTGTGGGGCCTTCTGTGGCTGGCTGAGCCCTGCAGTCTTCCCTAGGAACTG